AATCTGCATTATAATGTTTTTGTTAGCCTATCAAGTTGAAGCCACTAGATGCGGCGCTGCTGCTTTGTCCATTAAAAATATTGTGGAAAAAGAGAACATCAATGCGGAGAAGATGTTGTTTACGTCAAAACTGAAACCAAGCCGTTCACACAGAACACATATTTTGCGCATTTTCTAGAGGGACTGCTATCAGCGTTGCACTTGCATCTCGCACAAAGGAGCCGCATGTTTAGAAAGCCATGTATAATTAATGCAAGTTTAACTTAGAAAAAAACATATATTAGACTGTATGGCTGTTTTTTCCCCATCCCACAGCATCTCGTTTTTAAATGAAAAATGTACTGTGTGATTGGCTTTCCGCCCTTTGTATTAAACTACATACATGATGCTGTTTTTTTTATAGTTAAGCAACTTAATTATAATTGGTTTATAAACATTATTTGAAACATTATGCACTTTTTTCACAGATAGTCATGTTATCTTATGCTTTGAATAAACGTGCATTTAGAGGCGCCCTCTTGTGGCCTCAGAATCCAAAAGCTTTTCTTCACCCTAACTGAAATTATGCATTTTAAATTAGAATATAATTTGAATTTTGATAATATTTAAGTACAAAATTCGAATTTAGTTTTTCAGCCATTTTGACAGCCCTAAAAGCCATACTTCTGAAATCTATGAATTAAAACTACAGCACATTTTGACAAAATAAAATTCAATTCAATTCATTCAAGGATTTACAGCTCTCGCTTTGGTTTGCATCATAACTCGTGTCATGCTGACAGTTATAATATGTAATGTAAATGTATTAAATTATGATGAAATCAATTAAATTAAGAAAATTTAATTGATAAATTAGTAAATTTAATTGATAATTTAAATGATCAATTAAATTAGTAAATGTATGAAAATTATCAAAATGTTGTTTATTATTTAGCTTATTTAATACCTTAATAATACTTTCCTATCATCTTTATCAATGAATGTAATGAAATTAGATTTATTTAGGCAGTTTTGCTTTTACTGAGACGTGACAAAACAGAATCAGACAGGAAGTGAAGTGGGAGAGAGAGGGAAACGGGATTGGGAAAGATCCCTGAGCCAGGAATCGGACTCAGGTTGCCCGTAGCACAACCGACAAAAAATGTTTTCAAATAGATAAATTAAACTAAATCAGCAAATCTACTAAAATAGAATTTGATTAAATTAGAATTAATTGCATACATAAATAAATAGCAATATTAAAAAAACACTAAAATGTCACGGCAGGTTTTAATCTATTGCACCTGGTTTGAGCTTGTTGTACGACCGAGCCTCCATAGTACTGGGCTGAAGAGGCTGTGGTACTGGCCCATGTGAGGTTGCTGAGTGCGGTTGTAAATGTGGCTGCGAGGGAATTCCCGGTCTAATCTGGCCCTCTGAGTAGTTTACAAAAACAAAGCCGTCTTTCTCGTCAATACTGAGTGTGTCCGACCAGCGGCGGGAGTCGTCAGAGCCACTGTCCACCGACCAGGAGGCTCCGGTGCGAGGTTTGGGTCTGTGGACGGTACTGCTGGGCTGGCTGTTTGAGGTCCGAGGTTTAGAGTCCTGACTGAGATTGGCTTCCTCTCCTTCAGACTCACTGCTGTCATCCTCTGGAGCATCACGGCCCTCTGGAAGAACAAGACTTGAGGTTATTTAATCTGAAAAGATAATCTAAAACTCAGAAGAAATTGCTGTAATGCAAAGTGCAGGCTAAAATTGTTTAATATCAAATTGATCAAAATATTATTTATCATTTAGTTTATTTAATACTTTAACATAATCTTTTCAATATTATAGCACGAAAGACATGAAAAGGGTGCAATGGAGGGATGTTTTACCAATCTCTCCACAGCAGTCTGGCACATCGGGGGGCTCTACAGGCTCTGGAGCAGGGGTTTCTGGGACTTGGAGGAACTCAATTCTCCAGAACTACAAGATAAAGCCATTTGTCAAGAACCGTTATCTGTTGACACTTTAAAAGACACAGAGTGAAAAGAAAGAAAGCAAATTAAGGAGAAGACCATTACCCTGACAACACCGTCGGAGTGTCCCGTAACGATAACATTCTGTGTGTCCCACTCATTCATCTCTGAGATGCAGCAGCAGAGGATTTGTTGGCTGCGGCCGGTGAAAGTGTTGGCGCTGGCGATGGGGCTTCCATTGATGCTCCACGCATGGATGTAAGTGCCAGCACAGGACACTATATCACCCTACACAAAGACACTCAGAGTTATGAGAGTCTTATCCAATTCATAGAACACTTCGGTTTTATTCGGAAGCATCAATTTATTACGAGGGCTCATAAAAAGCAAGAAATTAAACCAGGAAGCTCTTTTTTCCAAAGTAGTGATGGTCTCACTTTTTAATTAGAAATTAATTCCTTTCCAACAATTTTTCAAAGGCAAGCACATTTTTAAACAGTAAAGTGTGCTACTGTTTCTTGATGACCAGATCAAATTAAAAGTTTGAGTTGGCAAACATTTTAATTCTGCTTAAGCCAATAATAATAATAACCTATTATATTTTCATAAGTATTAAAATATATTCTTAGAATTTTTTATTGCCCTAATAAACTATAAAAAATAATTTTCCCCATAGTTTTCTGTGAGTAATGATAATAATAATTAATAATAATAGTACCAACAATAAATTATTTTTATACATATTATCATTTGCAGTGTATACACACACACACACACACACACACACACACATATATACATATATATATATATATATATAATTTTTTTATGATCATTAAAATTCTAATTTATTTTAAAAAAAATTTATTACCCCAATAAAACATACAAATGCAAAGACCATACAATGCAAAGAGTGCATATTACATGACTAAAAGGAAAATTTGATGTAGTTTAAACACAACACTCAGGTAATTCTGACATTATTGTGGGCTCACAGTAAGTTCGTTGATGCAGAGTGCGGAGACGGGAGCCCGATGGCCCCTCAGCTGGGTGACGAAAGACAGCTTATTCAGGTCCCAAATGATGCACGTACGGTCTCGAGAGCCACTCACAATGATGTGGTAAGCTGATGACGCTGTGAGACATGTAACAGCATCTGTGTGGCCCAGAAGAGCCTGGAACCATGAAAATACATATGTTGATCAATGCATAAAACATTACAATTAAATTAAATTCGGTTATAAAGAACAAGTAGGTTTAGCAAAAAGTCTAAAGCAAAACTTAAATATATTTATCGGGTTTAAAAAGCAAATGAAGTAAAAAAATAAAAATAAAATCAAGCAAGCAAGCAACATTAAAACAAATATAAAACAAACCTGTTTGAGTGTGATGGTCTTGGCTTTCTCTTTGGAAGTCCCGGTCTCCCACACACAGATAGCGGTGCTTAATCCACCAGTGATAACCAGTTTGGGATTGGGGCAGATAGCACACAGGATCTGCCCCCACTCAGACAGGCACTCATATACTACAACCGCCTATGAGACAAACAACACATGAACATCAGACAACTGATATGGAAAACTAAATACACAGAATAAACCAAAAACACAAGATTAAACTTTGTTGTGTCTTAATTAGCTCCTAAACCATTCCCCCTCCCCCCACACCCCACACACTCCAGTTTGTGGGAACTACTACAAAAATCCTTTTAGAAGGTGGAAAGAAGAAAATAAAAGAGAAAAAAACCATAGAAACATTTCAGGTTTCCACAAAATCGGTTTTCAACATTGACAATAATAAGAAATGTTTATTGAGCACCAAATCAGCATATTAGAATGTTTACTGAAGGATATGAATGATTTCCTCTGTGACACTGTAGACTGGGATAATGGCTTCTAAAAATTACGTTTTGCTATAACAGGTAGGGCTGGGCGTTATATCGAGTTTGTACGATATATATTTTTTATAAGCGATACGGTATGAGGCAATACCGCCTATATCGATATACAGTAGTTTGATACGAGCGCATCTGAATATAATAGCAGAGGAGAAAGTGCATAATCTAGTTTGTCCTAAACATGAGACATGCTTTATATTAAGGGCTAAAAAATAACTTGTAAGATATAGTTAACATGTCTAGTTTAAAGCGGTTCGCCCCGTCAGATGCTCTGACAGACTCATGTGCTGCTGACAGAGACGCTTCTTGCGCTGTTTAATGTGTTTGGTATGCTGTTTTCCTCAGTGCATAACTTACATTTCACAGGTATATTCTCCATCTGTAAACGTTAGAAAGTCATGGAAATATTTCCATTTTGCTGTCAGGATCCTTCTGCATGCGATTCTCCGCTAAATTTCACAGACTTCAGTGAACGAGCGCCGCCGCGTGCCAAACAGACAGCGCGCAATAATTGAGTCATATGTAGAATTTTTAACTACATGTAAGTATATTTTATGATAGCAGATAGCAGTAATGGGGTAATCAAAATATTTAATGCAATCAATCTGTGCTCTAGTGTTTATGTACTTTCATTTTTAGTTTAGTGAATTGAACCTTTGTTTTAAAAAGCATTATTTTTGTCTTTAGATTGTAATATTACAATGCTAGATTATGTGATTTTAGCCCCTTTTTTGCACATAATGCATGGCATACGTTCACTATATATGTATGTATGTATCTCTGTATTTTCCACATTTTCTATATCCAAATAGAAAATACCGAGATATATACCGTATATCGCATTTCAACCAAAAAATTACCGAGATATGATTTTTTGCCCATATCGCCCAGTCCTAATAACATGCATAAATTACATTTTAAAAAGTATTTAAAATGTATTAAAATAGAAAACAGTTATTTAAATTATTTAAAAAAACAAACTATTACAGACCCCAAAACCTTTCAACTGTAGTGAATAAAAAAGTAAACCTAAAATTTAGAAAGACACATTTTATAAATATGCAAAGTTTTGCTGATGCTCTTTTTCCAAACGCATTTGAGGATCTGATAGCCGTTCACAGCAGATGCTGAAAAACGTGAGTAAACAGAAGAACTTGTATGTTGTGAATGACCTTGTCAGACTCATAGTTGGAGAGGCGGCAGCTGAGGTCTGCATAGCCCCAGGCGAAGGTTTTATTCCAGGCAGGAGGAACCAACACCTTGTTCTGCTCAACAGCCAGAATGCCCTTGTCAGTGCACACTATCTGACCCACTGGCTCCTTCAGCTCTGTAAAACACAAATGACACACACAGAGCTTGTTAAAATGCTCTCCACTGTATGACCAGAGCCGCTATTAAAATTTCACACAAATTATTCCTGAACAAACAAGTTCTAACAAGTAAATTGTTGATATTAAATTGTTAGTATTTATGTATTTTAATACAAAAAAATGTATATGACAGAACTAGTAGAAGCCAACAAAAAAGGAATGCCACTGTAAACCTCTCTCTAATCTGCATTACCTTTGACAGGGGTGAGAGAGGGCCGCAAGTTGTCCAGGTGATGGAAGAAGAACTTGTCTAAGCTGGAGTTGAGTGTAACAGGTACACCAGGTACCTCTCCGTTTGACTTACTGCGCACCCGCTTTGGAGGATGGGGCTTCTTGAACAGCTAAAAGAAACGAAACAAAGAGGTTAAACTGGATACCGAGCGAAACACACACTAGAGTGTACTGCACAGTGGTGCCAAAAGGGATTTGGACACCTAGGTAACACAATTTAATTACATTAAATACAAATAACAAAACAAATGGCATCAGCAAAAAAAAAATGAGGCTAGAGCTTTTTTAAGAACTGACTTTCCTTTCAATGACTTTTAACAAGCTGGTGTCAAGGAGATTTTTAGTAGAAATATGAAGTCAGTTCTTCTCAAGTATGCACAGGTAACCACTGATGTAGTTAATTTTCAATAATGAAATTGCAAACCTGTTTTGGGATCTGGCCAAAGTTGTTGATGAATCCAATGGTAGCTGTTTCTTTAAGTGGGTCATTAATGTTGTAGATGTCCACCTGACCCTCATAGAAGAGATGGTGGAAGACATTGACTGCTTCCACCGCTGGAGGACCCTGCTGCTTGTATCCAAATATTAGGTCGATCCATTCATGCAGATGGGCGCTGACATAGTCACACTCCAAAGCCTGAAAAAAAACACACACAGTCCCTAAAGGTTATGAACCTGTTTCTGAAAGTGGCCTTATTCTCTGACATTTACGACAATGAAGTGATAACTCAAAGAGCTTCTGGCTTCATCAGGAGATGATGTATTTTGATGCCAATTACCTCTCTGTGAACCCTGATGAACTCTCTCGGGTCTCCTTTTGCCCACGGAGGCAGAATCACATCTCCAAGCTTGGTGCCATTCTGTTTACTCCCTTTAGAAAAGATTGATCAAATAACACACTCATGTAAAAAAAAAAAAAGAGAGAGAGAGAAACTGTATTTAGGGTACATATGAGGCTAGCTGTCAAGCTTTTCCTTACCAAGATCGAAGTTGTTGGAATTAAGTAGGAACTCGGGAAGGTAGAAGAATTCAGGAATGAGTTCCTTCACATCAGCCATGTTGTGTTTGGAAGCAGAGAGCCAAGCCTCTCGTACACTGTGAAACATTCGGTCAGCTAGATCAAAATGTCCTCCCTGAAAACAGATGAAACTCACATGTAACCACCAACTTCAATCTCTCTTGAAACTAGATCAGCTGTTCACACTAGGGACGATAACAATAATTCTAAAGTTTTAATAATTGTTCTAATTAATAAAGGCACAGAGGAACTAAACAATTTTTTTCAGATGATAAACACTAACAACACTGACAGCCCATCAGGACACATGACTTTAAAGAGCTTGAGTATTTAAAGCAGCAGGCAGCATGCACTTATAATAAACAGAACATTGTTGTGGACACTAATGTAGTTACATCAATCGTTTTTGGTGTGAACGGGCCTTCACTGTTCGTTAATAACAACATCTTGTCAGAAACAAAGGAATATCTTTATTAATGCTTGGAAACACTGTAAATATCTGTGCGAGTATGAAAGATGCTATGCTTATTGCTGAGACAGCTGGTCTCCAGTCTGCTCTTCCACTTTTGTTTGTTTTTGGTTTCGACTGTGAAGGATTTATTTAGTAACGTTCATTAGTAAAATCTATTTCCACCAGCATAACAATGGGTGTCGAAGAATAAAAGAACAATGATAAGACTGCCCAGTTCAAGACTATCCAATCTAGCCACATGAAAGTTTGTCCAGGTTCAAAGTTTAAAGAAAAACTTTAAACAACAATAACTAAAACACAGAGTAAAGAGAAGAAAGCAACAAATGATGAACAGACCAGGCCATGTGGGACTAACCTGAAGCCTGAGAAAGATCTGTGTGAACGGCTCCATTCTGACCAGATATGAGGCCACGATCATTGCAGAGGAATAATGAGTGCCGTAATGATACGCTGGAGTCTCGCCTGTGAAGAAACAAAAAAAACATGTTTCAAAAGTTGGAGCTTAACAAGCACAACTAAACAGATGATCAACAGGAGTCTCGGACTCACCAGTAGGATCCTCCCAGTCTTTGAATCTTTTCTTGTACTGGATCAGTCTATCATCTGTCTGAGCTCCCATGGGTTTGGATAAGTTTCGGAATGTCTTTGGATTGTTGAGGTCCAGTTCCTGTGGAATAATTCAAGACATTTCACTTGGAAAACTTAAGCTCAGATTGCAAAAGAAAAAAACATCCAAATCCCCCAAACAGAATGTAAATATGTGGACACGGGGCTCCAGACTGTGACCAAATGCTAGCATTTTGCGACCATTTTTTCTGCCTGTGCAACTAAATTTTGTGTGCGGTCGCACTGGCGTGATTACCGCGTTGGTCAACTCATAAGCGCTGCAATTTCTGTTGCATATGAGAAACATCAAACGGCAAACGAAACTGAAAGCATAACGAAATAGCGCTTTTAGAGAGTATACTCGCCGCGTCAGCACGAGCGCGAAGGTGCACGCAGCAAAAATGACGTGCATATTGAGTAAACGATGGATGGTTTTCAAGTGAAATTCAAGTAAAAGACCGCTTCTTAAACCAGAGAAGCTGAACATGCTGGTATTCTTGTGGGGGGAAAAACATGCAAGCACTGTCACCGTTAGTTTTACTTTTCTTTTTGTTTTCATTTTTGAAAAATTTGTTATCTTTGCTGTTTACCTCACATTACGCTATGGAGGCTCTCTTTTATTTATTTATTTGATTCCTCAGTGTTTGCTAAACGTTCTGTAATTTATTAGTCG